ACTGTATTTTAATAATGAAATGGAGATCTTTTTTAAAGGTTAAAACCTCATTTAATTTTATGTCTTACAGGGTTTATACTGAGTACAATAATTCAACTGTAAACATAAAAATTTACAGCCAATTTTGAAAGAAATGCATCTTAGCTCAGAAAATTGATATTGAATATGTCAATGCTGTTGTAATGAAATACTTCTTCTAAGTATATGGTTATTAAATAAATAATTAAAAATAATAATAGTGTTGCTCCATACATAATAAAAAAAAGTGTCAATCCACTCCTTCATCCAGCCATCTACCTATCCATCCATTCATTGATCCACCATTCATCCATGCACCATCCACTACCCATTTATTCACTTACCTATCCAACTACATATCCATCCACTCATCCACCACCCACCATCCACCATCCACCTACCATTCGGCCATCTATCCAGTACTCATACACCTATCCATCCATTTATTCACTAACTCATCAATCCATACACCTATCTATCTATCCACCATCCATTCATCCATTAACTCATTTGTCCATCTATTCATCACCAAACCATCCATTGACTCATCCACCTACCTATCCAATTCATCCACCATCCACTGATTACACATTCAGTGCAGTAAGTTTTACCAAGTACAAGGGATAATTAGATGAAAAGTCATTTCTACCAACTTTCTAGTATAATTTAATGAGGGAGAGAAACATGTTCAAAGACAGCTACAAACTATTTTTCTCATGGGAAAACTTACAAGATCCAGAAGAGGACTTGAATCCATAGGACTACAGACTTGTTTTAACATCATCATGCTCTGAGAACATACTATGATGCATATGCTAAGTGCAAAAGAGCTTCCATCAAATAGATAGATGAATAAATGGATGGTTGGATCAATGGGAAAATGAAAGAGTAAAGCTGGTGAGTGGGAATAATGGGTGGATATTAAGGTAACTGGATAAGTGGGTACACAGATAATGCATGGGTGGATTGATGAGTAAGTGGGTAGATGGATGGATCAGTGGGTGGATGGATGGATGGATAGATGGATGGATAGGTGAATGAATGGATGGGTGATATATATGAGTAGGTGAGTGGATAGATGAATGGATGAGTAGATGGGTGCATAGATAGGTAAGTGGGGAGATACATAGATGGGTGGATGGATGGGATGGATGGATGCATGCATGCATGCATGCATGGATGCATGAATGCATGGATGGATTTGTAGATGGATGAGTGGGTGGACACATGGGTAGATGAATGGATGGGTGGATTGGTGGATGGGTGGATTGGTGGATGAGTAGATTGGTAGATGGGTGCGAGGGTGTACCCACTGATGAAAGGATGGGTGGATGGGTGGGTTAGTAGATAGGTGAATGGGTAGATTGGTGTATAGGTGGGTGGGTGAATGGGTAGATGGATAGGTGAGTGGGTGGATGATCTATCTCCACTTATGACTTCCTGGCCCAGGGTGTCACTCTTAATCAGTCTGTACAGTTGCACCCTGAATTATCCATTCACCTTTTCCCTGGCTTTCTGAAATTTCCACATTTATATTACTAGTTCCTTGAGACTAGAGCTTAACTACCATTCTGCTGTAACCCTCACAGTGTCCATCCCAGTGTTGGGTGCAATCATAAAAGATTTGCCTTAAATATATTTGTCAGGCATAAGGAAAATCCTATGTTTCATAATTAATACCCCTACTTGAGCACAGAGTGGGGTGGGGTGCCTCTGCAGTGGTATAATTAAAATGTTTTATTGCTTCTTTCAACTTTCCTATATTCTAGAAGTTTCCTGTAATGAGTACATTTGACTTTCATAATTAAAAACAAAATATCTGTGGGTCGGCTTTCTGGAATGCACATCTAGAGCTGAGTGCCTGCTTCATCTTGTGAGGCATCCTTGAGTCAAGTGCATCGCCCCATCTCATCAGCTCCCCAATTCTTCCAGAAGAAACAGGCATGGGAGCCCCATCCGGATATGTTAGACTATGAAATGCTCAAACCCATCCATGCTGAGACAGCTCTGGGGAGGACAAGCCACACATGTTGCTGGCTCTTCGCCAACACGTCCCCCACTCCATGCACACCCTCTCTTGATGGTCTGTCCTATCAAAGAATCCTCAACTGCCTTGTCATCCCCTCCCTGGCCAGCTTCTACCCTAGGTAAACCAAGATGAAAACAAAACATGAGCTGGTGGGGCCAGTGAGATGGCTGTGAGTCATCAAACAAAACATGAGCTGGTGGGGCCAGTGAGTGTTTGTTGCCAATGCTGAGGACCTGAGTTCAATCCCCAGGATCCACGTGGTAGAAGGAGAGCACTGACTCCTGCAGATTGTCCTCTGACATCCACACATGCAACCATGCCCCATCTATGTACATGCATGCACACACACACACACACACACGTACACATACACTCACACACAATGAACAAATGAATGTACTAGTACTTTTTTTAATCTTCACTCTGTTGGTCTCTTCTCCACAGACTCCTGGCTTCTGTTTCTTGGAGAGACCATAGTATTTCAAGGGCATATTGAAGGCCTGAGGCCAGCATTTGACATATGGGTATTTTTCTCACGAGCCACCATTTGGCTGGAGAGAGTACATGGCACAGTGGGAAGTTGACAAAGATGTCACCATCCCATCGGACCATAAGATCCAAGTCCCCGGACAATGACATCACAAGGGCACATCAGAAACACCCAGCACTGCTGAGCCTGGCTGCTGAGTGCAGTCACTCTGGGGCCAGCCTCAACACACTCATCTGTGAACAGGGTAGATAAGAGGAAGAATTGGGACCTCATTCTTCCTCGTGATTATGACGGGGCAGCTCATAGCCACACAGTGCCCTGTACCGCATGGCCACACACTCCCCACTCATCATCCGTGAACGTCTCCACTTGAAAATTAGGAAGCAGAGGTTAAGGGAAGGCTTTGCCCAAAGTCACCCAGCCCATAGGGGAGCCAAGATTCAGACCTAGAAATGCAACAGCATGGGCTCCCTCCATGGACTGCCTTCATCAAAATGTCTATTCAAGAAAAGCACCATGCATAGACATGAATTCTTCTATGAGTCTCTGTGTGTGCTTGCTCCTGTGGGTACACATGTGTGTGAGTCTGCATGCATGTATATGTGCACGAGTGTGGAGGTCAGAGGTAAACCTCAGATGTTGATCCTCAGACACTGCTGCATGCAGCACATGAATTTTGTGAGACAATGTCTCTCACCAGCTGTATTAGTTACTTTTCTGTTACTGCGTTAAAAACACTGACCAAAGCAACTTATAGAAGAGTTTATTTAGCTCATGGTTCCAGGGGAATTACAGGCCATCATGGTGAGGAGGCATGGTGGCAGGAGGTGGCTGGAGCAGGAGCAGAAAACAGAGTACTCACATCTTCAAGCAGGCACAGGACGCAAGATCAAAACTCAAGATCTAGCAAGGCTTAAAACTCTCTAAGCCTGGCCCCAGTGATGTGCTTCCTCCAGCATAGCCATGCCTTCTAAGACCTCCCAAAGCAGTGCCACCAACTGGGGACAAAATGCCCAAATACTTGTAGCCTATAGGGGACATTTTCAATCAAACCACCACACCAGCCCAGGGCTAAACTGGACAGCCAGGCATCCCTAGAGATCTGCCTGTCTCTGCCTAGCTGGCACTGAAAGTATAAGCATACACAAGCTTTTTATGTGAGTTCTAGAGGTCAAACTCCTGTCCTCATGCTTTTTAAGACTCATTCTTCACCCATATAACACCTGTTGCACTGATCATTTATCATTGTGGATGCGCCTGGATTCCCTGCAGTGTGTGCTGTGAGCACAGAGGGCAGAGCTGAGCCCATTGACTGTGGCCAAGATAGAGCCACTGCCTGTTCAGTACACACGAGAACCAATGAAGGAAGGAAGAGCTGACTCACCCACCAGCCCAGCCCCTCAAGTCCCAGGCTGCTCACCACCTCCTGCCTGTTGCTTTTCCAAGTCTGCCTGCTGGTTCCTCTGCTGCGCCTCCTCCAGCTGCTTCTGCACGTCCCCCAGTGCCTTCTGTACTTGCTCATACTTGCTCTGGAAGAAAGGCTAAGTGTTGGTCATCATCTGGAAATGATTTGAAACACTCCCCTCCCCACACCGCCACCAGGGTTCACATTTGGGAATCTGACCCTTATATGGCAGTGAGGAAAGGCCTGACCCAGTGGGAGGACCTCCAGTCACTGGGACCCTTGGGAGGGCTTAAGCTGGATCTTATAAGACCCCTGAGTTAAAGAAGCAAGCCCAGAGCCCCCTTCTCTCTGGCTTCATGCTTGGCACAGTGATCTTCCCTCTCATCATGATGCCAGCTACTCTTAGGTCTTTATCAGAGGCTGAGTCAATGGGGCCTCCCAACCTTTGATTTTCAGTCTCCAAAACTATGAGCTAATAAATCTGTTTTCTTTATGAAGAAGCCTGTCTCTGGTGTTTTGTTTTAGTAATAAAAATGGACTAATGGACAGTCCAAACTGGCCAAGGCTAGCCATCTCACATTGACACATCCATACCCAGGGTTTGGTCGCCTATTACATACTCTTGAGGCAAGAATGGCACTTTTCCCACCCAAGGCTCCTCCAAGGTCAGGGACCTGCTGAATATGTTATGCCTCCAAAACCAAGGAGTCTCTCTCCACCCACCCACCTCCCAGGCCTTAGGAAGATCCAGCTGTCCCCAGGACCCTGGGCACAGAAGTCAGCCAGCCTGTGTATCTAGCTTGGACTGAAGGTCCCAGTAACCAGTACCCACCACTCCCAGCCACTCTGCTCAGCCCCCTTGAACCATCACCTTGAATTCCTGGACCTCACGGAGGGCCTGAAGCCGCTCAGCCCGCTCACTGTCCAGGGCTTGGCAGGCCACGTCCCCTTTGAAGCGTTCATCAGCAAGCTCTGAGGTCAAGTCAGTGATCTGGGGAAGAGAAAACACTGAGACCACCGGCTCTTCTCCCCCCGACATTCTGTACACAGCATAGGCCCATCCTAGAACAGACCCCTGGCTATCAGGACAGGTGACCCCTCAGTGCAAACAAGAAGTTAAAAGCTTGTACTTCAGGATGCAGCTGCTCTTGGCATGGGAAAACTCTCTCTGGAGCTGTACTAGCTCTGTGACTTTAAACCCAGCAGAATGCTTCTCTGATTCTCAGAGCTCTGTACTTTAAAAGGGACAGGACGGAGAGGGAATAACATGGTGTGAGGAACAAGCTCGTTAATCCCTGGACATCTTAGCATGGTGCTCAGCACATAGTAGGTACTTAGTTAATAAACAACGGCTAGAGAAACTGTGCTTAGCCACCTTCAGTAACCCATCTTTTAGGACTGAGCCTCAAGGTCCCTTAGTAGGACACAGGAATGAATGGATGGATACCCACGGTACCTGATGCCTCCCTATGGAGCTATTGTGACTCCTGAGGCTCCTCCCCCAGGAATGGCCAGCACACAAGGTCTAGCCTTTCTGCCTTCCCATCTGGTACAATTCCCTGTAACCTGCCAGTTAGTGATTACACGGATCCATTAAGTACACCTGGACAGAGAATTAACATGACAAGTAAACTGGGTGTTTCAGGAGGAATCAGTAAGGAAAGCTACAATAAGAAAAGGAAGGCTTGTTGGTTCATTGACTTTATCCTTGGCTCCATTTTAAAGACCTCAAAGCCAGAAAACAAAGGACTTCGTATTAAGGGTGTGGGCTGAAAGGGAGACACAGAAATTCACGTACAACATGCTGTGGTCCTGTGTGAGTGAGGAACAAGGGGCAGAGGAACACGGCTTAGGGACTCCCTCTCCGACACTGATTTTTTTTTTTCTTCCCTGTTTTCCAATCAACTGGCCAAATAGAAATGACAAACTGACAGGACTTTGTGATATTATTGCCCCAAGTGTTGCCTTCTGGGTTTGAGGCTATGCCTCCCAAAGGTAGAGTCCACTGGAGAAGTGTTCTGACCAAGGGAAGTAGCCACAGCCCCCTGCACTGGGGGTGGGACTGAAGTAGGATAGGGGAAGGGGCAGAAAACTGGGGTTACAGGTGTGCACTACCAGCCCAGTATATGCTACTGGGCTTTGTGACTGCTTAGCAAGCACTCTGCCAACTGACCTACATTCCCAGCCTTCTTGTTATATATTTTTAAATATAAACAATTTAAATAAAGTCAAGAGTCAGAGAATGAACAAAACAAAAAAAAAAAAAAAAAACCAGGCAGGGTGTAGGGTCCAAGAACAGCTGCCATGTGGTTTGACTCGGTCAGTCTCCTTTCCAGCCCGGGCCTTTGCCATGGAGTTGCAGGGTGCACTGAGCTAAGTGGGGTCCTTTGTCTCTGGAATTCACACTCCAACCACAGACTTGTTGCCTATGAAGATGCCAAGGCCCCTCCCTCTCCCATCAGTCCTCTGTGGTGGAGTGTCTGGCTCTTAGCCTTGACTGGTTCAGAGTCCACCTGTCCGTCTGAGCTAATCCTCCTCAGCACCATCAGCACATGCTGGGCCAGCTGTGAAGGAAGACACAGTGTCTAACATGGGAAAACTCCCAGGATGCATCACCCAATGGGCAAAAGCTACAGAACAAAATGCTTGGAGGGAATCTCAGGTCCTTTTCTTTACTTCTGAGATTTTCATATGTGTGTACAATGCAATAAGCTCATAGACCCTCCCATCATCCCCTCCAACTTCCTCCTGACACGCCTCTCTCCCAACTTCACAGGTTTTTCTTTGATAACCCACTAAACCCTCTCAGTATTGCCATGTGCCACTGCTGTGAGGCTATCCACTGGAGCACGGGAAACCTACATCCTCAAAGAATGACTCTCCCTCCCCAGTAACCAGCCATATCTCAATTTTGTTCACTCGTGCACAGGACAAAGTGTCCATGGGCTTTTCTTTCTGGAAGGATGACTTCCTAAGGGACCCTGTTGCCCTATGATACAAGTCTGTACTGTGGATTTTTTTTTAAACTGCTTTTGTGATGAGACAAAAAAAAGAAAAGAAAAAAAAAGGACTACACCTTTCACTGAAATTTCTGCAAGGCTGATTAGTTAATTAGAACCTTAATGACTGTGGGGAGGTTGGAATAGTACAGATCAGGAGTCTGATCAGTTTGTCTTGTATTATCTGCAGCCCACTCTGTGCAGCCTGTGACCAACGGGTGAAGCCTCTTGGAATGTACTGACAGACCCTACCTAGTCTCCACCAGCCAACAGCCTCGGAGTGTCATCAGAGTATCTGAGGTCAGTAGCTGAAATTCCTCAGCTTCGCTGTGACTGCCTGCTTAATGTTTCCAGCAATGTATTCGCTTGCTGATTTCTGATTGCCTTTGTCTTGTTTCTATAAAACTCCATGAAATGGTTGCCACATTGGAACATGGAATTTGAGGTGACCTGAATCTGTGTTCCCAAGCCATGGTCAATCATATTTGGTTCCAGAATAAACTTTCTTATCCCCATTGAGGTGAGAGCTGTGGTTTTACTGACACTATCTTACAGAATGAAAAGGCTGGTACAAAGACTGAGGGCGCTGCGCCGTCTATGTCCTACGTCCCCTGTTTTGCTGCTCCTCCTCCAGTCTATCCTTGTCCTACCCTGTTGACATAGAGGGGACTCAGCAGATCAAATGCAGAGAGAGAGAGAGAGAGAGAGAGAGAGAGAGAGAGAGAGAGAGAGAGAGGAGAGAGAGAGAGGTGTTTCAAAGTCTGCAGAGCAAATAAGTGACAGAGCTGAAATTTGAACTCAGATCCATCAGATGCTGCCAGCATTCAAGCTAAGGAATGAGGGGCCCCCAGGGGTTCTGGGTTGGTGATCTCTGAGAGGGAGCTTCTTTTCGTTCTTCCTTACACTGCTGTTCTTAAAGCACCATTGCAGTCCCCTGGGAAGTTCCTTACAATGCAAATCTTCCAATATACAGATCCCAACCAGAATCTCCAGGGCAGATAAGTATCCAGGACAGAGAGTCTCCAGAGTAGAGTCTTGGGGCAGAACCCAGAAAATACATTCTGCGGAGCTCCAGGGAAAACAGATTTTAAGAATCTCTACAAAGGAGGAACTTGCCCCCATCCCAACCTGGGCCTTTCTTTGCTTTGTGCAGGTCAGAGTTAGATTTGCTTGTGGACCTGAAAAAGCTGTTGTGGGACTGGGACGGTGGCCAGTACAATCCAGGACAGCCCAAGATCATACCCCTAACCACCTTCCCCCCTGAAATCAGCCTTAATCCCAAGCCCAGCACAATGCTCCCTCTGCCTTGGCCAATTAATGTGAAATTTAATTTGTGTTAATCGGCCTGAGCAAGGAGAACATAAAATTAATTTAATACATTAACTTTGAGCTCCAAGAACCCACTGTCTGGAACCCAAAGGACACTTAGTTCTTTCAACTGGGAATGATGACAGGCTTTAGAAAGACAAGCAGTTCTTGACCCACCTGTACCCACAGGAACCCCTCTCTTTCCCTCCCATGAGGCAGAATCCTTGTCTGCAGAAGTGGGGAGTGGGCCCAAGCCCAGAGCTTCAAAAACCAGTTTAAGGAGCGAAGCATCTGACTCACAAACCTAACAGGGGCTTTGCAGTTGACACAAGGGCCACTTAACAAGAAATTGCTTTGAGGATCCTCCCAGGAGCTACCACGTGCAAGATCACCAGACACACACGTGCTTTCTACTGAGGGACAGTGGCTCTGAGGACTCACTGGAGAGGAAGGAATAGGAGTGAGTGAACTGACTACATGTTTTTATAGAGCCAAAGAGAAAGCAGCTAGCCACGCCTGGTGACACAGGTCTGTTACTCCAGCTACCAAGGTTGAGGCAGGAAAGTCACAAGTTCAAGACCACCCTAAACAACATTAGCAAAACTTTGCTTCGAAATTGTAAAAAAAGTAACAAGAGGATGTAGCTTGGGGGTAGAATTACAGTGGCCTTTGCAGGTCAGGACAGCAAGGGCTAAGCAGGTTTGATAGATGTTAATTGCTGAACACAGCTGGGGCTGAGGGGCATTATGTGTACCCACTGGATGCCATGCCCACCCCAAGGATTTGAAGCAGAACCAGAGAGATTAGTAACTACAGGGACCCCTGTGCCTTCAGCTAACCCTGCGCTCTGCTCTGACATTCAAAGATTCACAGGACCTGGGATGGAGGGGGAGAGGGATGGAGAGAAGCAAGTTCCTGGATACAAGGGAACAACTTCAGTGCTCTATAGCAGAAGAGGGCAGAGGTCTTAAAGTCTTTCTGGGTGTGTATAGACACACGTATGGAGGTCAGGGGAAAACCTTCAGTATGGAGTTTGAGATACCTTGTTTGAGACAAAGTCTCTTGGCTGTTTTCTGTTGAGTACCCCAGGCTAGCTGGTCCAGGAGTTTCTAAAAATTCCCGTTTGGGCCTCCCATTCCCCAGTAGGAGCACTGGGATCGGACACCATGCCCTGCATCCACATCTTACATGGTTTCTGGGAATTTGAACTCAGGCCCGCATACTTGTGTAGCAAGTGCTTTTACCCACCAAGCGATGACCTCAGCCTTCAGTTGCACACTTCAGGACAGGCAGCAGAGAGGGTTTTTAACATCCCCAACACAAAGACACCATCAATGTCTGCAGTGACTGGTGGACCAGTTCTTCTGGTCTGATACTTACACATTACACACATATTAAAATCTCACACTCTTCCCCATCAACAAGAATAATTAAGACACATCAATTTAAAATAGAAAGGGGGGAGCTGGAGAGATGGCTCAGTGATTAAGAATACTGCCTACTTTTACAAAGGACCTGAGTTTGGTTCCCAGCACCTACATGGTGGCTCACAACCATCAGTAACTCTAGTCCCAAGTAATCCACCACCCTCTTCCAGCCTCTGTGGGCATTGCACACATGTGGTACACTTACATACATACAGGCAATATATATATAAAATACAAAATACTCATGCATATAAAAT